GGTAGCTGGAGGAACTGAAGGTAGTTGATGGAAATGAAGGTAATTGGTGGAACTGAAGGTAGTTGGTGGAACTGAAGGTAATTGGTGGAACTGAAGGTAGTTGATGGAACTGAAGGTAGTTGGTGGAACTGAAGGTAGTTGATGGAACTGAATGTAGTTGATGGAACTGAAGGTAGTTGATGGAACTGAAGGTAGCTGATGGAACTGAAGGTAGTTGGTGGAACTGTAGGTATTTGATGGAACTGAAGGTAGTTGATGGAACTGAAGGTAGTTGTTGGAACTGAAGGTAGCTGGTGGAACTGAAGGTAGTTGATGGAACTGAAGGTAATTGATGGAACTGAAGGTAGTTGATGGAACTGCAGGTAGTTGATGGAACTGAAGGTAGTTGATGGAACTGAAGGTAGTTGATGGAACTGAAGGTAGTTGATGGAACTGAAGGTAATTGGTGGAACTGAAGGTAGTTGATGGAACTGAAGGTAGTTGATGGAACTGAAGGTAGTTGGTGGAACTGAAGGTAGCTGGTGGAACTGAAGGTAGTTGATGGAACTGAAGGTAGTTGATGGAACTGAAGGTAGTTGGTGGAACTGAAGGTAGTTGGTGGAACTGAAGGTAGTTGGTGGAACTGAAGGTAGTTGGTGGAACTGAAGGTAGTTGGTGGAACTGAAGGTAGTTGGTGGAACTGAAGGTAGATGATGGAACTGAAGGTAGTTGATGGAACTGAAGGTAGTTGATGGAACTGAAGGTAGTTGATGGAACTGAAGGTAGTTGATGGAACTGAAGGTAGTTGATGGAACTGAAGGTAGTTGATGAAACTGAAGGTAGTTGATGGAACTGAAGGTAATTGGTGGAACTGAAGGTAGTTGATGGAACTGAAGGTAGTTGATGGAACCGAAGGTAGTTGATGGAACTGAAGGTAGTTGATGGAACTGAAGGTAGTTGATGGAACTGAAGTTAGTTGATGGAACTGAAGGTATTTGATGGAACTGAAGGTAGTTGATGGAACTGGAGGTAGTTGATGGAACTGAAGGTAGTTGATGGAACTGAAGGTAGTTGATGGAACTGAAGGTAGTTGGTGGAACTGAAGGTAGTTGGTGGAACTGAAGGTAGTTGATGGAACTGAAGGTAATTGATAGAACTGGAGGTAGTTGATGGAACTGAAGGTAGTTGATGGAACTGAAGGTAGTTGGTGGAACTGGAGGTAGTTGATGGAACTGGAGGTAGTTGATGGAACTGAAGGTAGTTGATGGAACTGAAGGTAGTTGATGGAACTGAAGGTAGTTGATGGAACTGGAGGTAGTTGATGGAACTGAAGGTAGTTGATGGAGCTGAAGGTAGTTGATGGAACTGAAGGTAGTTGATGGAACTGAAGGTAGTTGATGGAACTGAAGGTAGTTGATGCCCTTTCTGGTCTGGTTCATGCTTTCGATACTTTTGTAATAATTTACACAAATTCTCCTGCGCTATTCTTAAAATGTTATTGATCATTCTTGTATTTTGATTTATGTGAAGTAACTTGAGAATGCATCTGCAGTGAAAGGTCGATAAAACGGTCTAACTGGGGGAGGGAGTGTCCGATTTACCGAAACATCTGTTATATTGAATATTTCAATGGACTAACGTCCAACTGTATTGACAACACCACCAAACATACACTATGTGTACCAATCCCGGGAGACTTGCAAGAGCAGGAATGTAAATGTCAAGTTTACAATTTAACAAGCTGGCTGGCTAACTGGCTGGCTAACTGGCTGGGTAACTGGCTGGCTAACTGGCTGGTTAACTGGCTGGCTAAGTGGCTGGCTAACTGGCTGGTTAACTGGCTGGCTAATTCGCTAGTTGACTAACTGGCTGCCTCCTTGCTCTTCCTTCCCTTAGTCTGTCTACTCTTCTTGTAAACAATTATTTGATCTCTGTCAACATATAATTTCCATTTGGACACAAGATGCTTGTCTCTACCACCACAGTGAACATGGACAGGTCCTGGACGAAGGCTGTGTCATACACACTTATGATTAAGTGGAACTGGTGCATTTTACCGAGTATATGACCGGACTGGACAGCCGTTCGGTAATGCGAATTTAGTCCACTTTTTGGCTGTTTTAATCGAACATCTCATTAAACGGACATTCTGAGCCTTCGTTCAGCCACATTTCATGTCCGGTTTACCAGACATTCTCTTTACATGGGTCTGTTTTATCAGAATTTTATTGTAATGCAGCACTAACATTAATATTATATAGATGGTTGGTTGATTTGATCTACCGGATCACGACTACGCCAGGATCTTATAATATGTGTGCAAGAGTTACGTACCTTTATTCCGAAATGTTCGAATATTGATACAAAAGAAAGATGATGTCATCAGTCTGTTAGCTTTGAAGGAATAGTTTGAGTTGGTCAGTCCCTTAGCCTTGAGAGTTTTATACTAGTGTTTCCGCCTCCCGTGATGTCTTCTCCAGTCTCCTCGCTTCACTTCTGGCCTTATAAAAGGCTCCATTTCCACGCTTCAGCTTCAGATTCTTCAAGACTATGTAGTTGAACACATCTCCAAGCTGAGGGACTGATCACCTCAACCTACTACTTCAAGGTTGATGGATTGATCACATCATCTTTCAGCTGTCTCCATATTTGCCACCTCTATATTCGACTGATGAAGCCTACTGTGTAGGCGAAATCTTTCAGAATATATGTATACCTAGCTGCTGAACCTGTGTCTTAAATAATAATAATAATAATAATATCTTTATTTCTACCAGTACATGTACAAGGTATACAGACCATAGCTGACATCAGTGACATAATACTATATAGAAAGCCGCTTGTTATGCAGTATTTCGGGCAGAACATGTACAGTGAAGGACACATACTTTGCCTTTCTATAGATACTAACAAATGCTGTTGGCTAGTTAAGATTTCTTTCGGATTTTTAACCCTGGGGGGTTAGCCACCCAGGATAACCCATGAAAGTCAGTGCGTCATCAATGACTGTGTCTTATTTCCATTGCGGTCCTCACAATCTTATCCCCCAGGATGCGACCCACACCAGTCGACTAACATCCAGGTACCTATTTGCTGCTGGATGAACAGGACAACAGGTGTAAGGAAACACGTCGAAATGTTTCTACCCCGCCGGGAATCGAACCTGGGTCCTCGTGTGTGAAGCGAGAGCTCTGCCAGCCAGGCCACGAGGTCACCGTTTTAAAGAAATTCAGAGCCTATTCACTACACTAGATTCATTGAAGCTGCAGGTAACCTTGACTATCAGCATATATATGCTGTATATATGTATATTTCAGTGTATATATCCTGTGACGTAACGTTTCATTTGTAACTTTCTGTCTAATCCGGGAAAACTAGTAAAATATATTGCCAAATTCTGCTATATTTTATAATCTAATTTTTAGTCGACATTTCTCAAATGCTTCAGTAAGCTTTCTAAACTCTTAATATTTTAATTTTTAAGTTCATTCAGTTGTATGAATCTGAATAAAATATCACACATTATTAACTCTCATTCTCTTATTGTTACAGATATCTTTGATTTTGTCGATTAATTACATAGAAACAAATCTGAAAATTCAGACGGAGCATCGTCCAGTCCGCCATTGTTTGTATACAAACTGATGAAGAGGTCTTATGTGCAGGCGAAGTCATAATTATATACCAATTAATGTTGAAAAAGCTATTGTATAGTGTTAGTAAGACGACCTGCAGATGGTGACGACACACACAGGTACTACCTGTGACCTTGAGCCCCTGCAGCTGGTGACGACACACACACAGGTACTACCTGTAGTCTTGAGCCCCTGCAGCTGGTGAGGACACACACAGATGCTACCTGCAGTGTTGAACTCCTGCAGCTAGCGAGGACACACAGGTAACACCTGTAGTCTTGAGCCCCTGCAGCTGGTGAGGACACACACAGGTACTACCTGCAGTGTTGAACCCCTGCAGATAGCGAGGACACACAGGTACCACCTGTAGTCTTGAGCCCCTGCAGCTGGTGAGGACACACACAGGTACTACCTGCAGTGTTGAACCCCTGCAGCCAGCGAGGACACACAGGTACCACCTGCAGTCTTGAGCTCGTGCAGCTGATAAGAATGTTGTCATGTACAGAGTATGTTATAATTTATTCATCGTTCATCACACACCCATTGGCATGCCCTCTCGACCAGCCAACTGCTAAGTCAGAGTACAGCAGTTCTATGACACAGACTGTTGTATTATTTGTATTTAGACCAGAGTAGACTCCATAGTTAAAGTGACATCACATCTGTTTACCAGGCTGTGAGGCAGACTTTCGCCTGCACTGGTCGAATCCACTCCTCTTGCTTTGGCTGGTTCTTTGCTCTCTTATCATTATACTGCTAACTTAATATTTTACCTATGTAAATATTGTTTATACTGGTGAAGGAATATAAGAGAAAAGAACAAAATTGCCCCTGTTCTGCTTGCCTTGCCCCTGTCTTGCCCAGTTACTTGCAATATTGCTGAATTTAATAATAATAATATCTTTATTTACTACAAGTACATGGTATACAGGCGTAGTTGACATCAGTGACATACTACTATACAGAAAGCCGCTTGTTATGCTGAGCATTTCCCGCAAATTAGGTCAGTTTTGTCCCAGGATGAAACCCACACCAGTCCACTAACACCCAGGTACCCATTTTAAACTGATGGGTGAACAGGGAGAGGGACAGCAGTTGTCTTATGGAAACACGTCTCTAGCGTTTTCCAGCCGTACCGGAGGAGATTCGAACCCCGGACCTCAGTGTGTGAGCTGAGTACGCTAGGGATCGAGCTACGGGACACTCTTTGGTGTCCCTTTGCAGCCGGTAAGGGCATATAGGTCCTACCTTCAGGGATGAGCCCTTCCAGCCGGTGAGGGCACACAGGTCTTACATGTAGTGTTGAGCCCTTGCAGCCGGTGAGGGCACACAGGTCCTACCTGCAGTGTTGAACCCGTGCAACTGGTGAGAGCAAACAGGTCCTACCTGCAGTGTTGAACCCGTGCAACTGGTGAGGGCACACAGGTCCCAGTCATCCCTGAAGGTGGGGGGAAGGAGTCCACTCCAGACGTCGCTGTTGGGGTCGCTCATCCAGTCCTCTCCGTCCTTCTGCTGGAGCTCCACCAGGTTTATCCACGTCTCCAGGCTGTGATCAGCACTGCCTGTAATACCAGCACAGAGTTACATACTCTTCCAGTATAATGTAAAAAAAATCAGTACTAATGTACAAAAACTGGAATGGTTATAATCTGTTGCGCTGAAGCATTACCTAATTGTTTAACGTGCTTCCTTGATCTAATAGAGCTTTTAATCCAAGGAAATGGAGCTACCTTCCCCTTGCCCGGAACCTATTCTGATTACTTCCTATTCTCTAGACGCCGTATGGCTCTTACGGATCTAGTGGTTCCCCGTGAATATATGATGTAAATAAACCACAGAACGGGTGGGGTTTAAACCTATAGCGAGTGTGGCCTAAAACACACTCGCCATGTGTTCTAATACCACCCGTTCCGTGGTTTGTTGACGAACGTGTTATTACGATCACGTGAGATACGATGTAAGTGCTTGGCACACAAACCCTCATGGGGTAAATATCAAACCAATGAAGATTACTGTAATTCTGGCCTACAACTCAGGTCCTCTGAAGTGAGTATTCTCGTCTTCCCTTCATCTGGGTTCCTTCGTGTCACTTGGTAATAATTCCCTGCGAGTTCCCCTGACAACGTTAGTATACATGGAGGAAACCAGGTAATTCATAACTGAAATAGGTAGATAATGAGTGATAACTCCAGAATTTCTGTACTGAGGGTGAGCTGTCCCGTAGCTCGATTGCTAGAGCACTGGGAGTTCGAATCTCCTCCGGTACGGCTGGAAAACATTAGGGACGTGTTTCCATAAGACACTTGCTGTCCCTGTTCATCCATCAGTTTAAAATAGGTACCTGGGTGTTAGTGGACTGGTGTGGGTCGCATCCTGGAACAAAATTGACCTAATTTACGGGAAATGCTCAGCATAACAAGCAGCTTTCTATATAGTAGTATGTCACTGATATCAGCTATGGTCTGTATACCTTGTACATGTACTGGTAGAAATAAAGATACTGGGGAGGCTATTTAGGTGGCAGAGTTCGTTTGAACAAAAATAAAATGTCGTTACTTATTGTATAACAGATGAACAAAAACAGGAATGTTTTCTAAAGCTTCTTTGGTTCACACTTATATTTAAGAGTGAGAGAACAATTGTCCAAGTCGAAGAACATGAACAATAATTACGCGGAACTGCAAAATAACGATGTGGATCTTTGTCTTATTAATATAATGACATACGAAGCTGTGCAGCAACAGTACATTTACTGTTCTCTTATAAGACAGTCAGGAAATTAGGAAGCTGCAGCGTTGTTGTTCTTCTGTTATGAAGAAAAATTAGGAAGCTGCAGCGTTGTTCTTCTTCTGTTATGAAGAAAAATTAGGAAGCTGCAGCGTTGTTCTTCTTCTGTTATGAAGAAAAATTAGGAAGCTGCAGCGTTGTTCTTCTTCTGTTATGAAGAAAAATTAGGAAGCTGCAGCGTTGTTCTTCTTCTGTTATGAAGAAAAATTAGGAAGCTACAGCACTGTTGTTCTTCTGTTATGAAGAAAATCAAAGAATTAATAACTGCAACATCACTGTTATCACTACTGTTGTTCCTAAGCTTCTGTTAGTCGCATAAATAAAAAACTACGTTCACATACCTGGAGAGGGCTTAAGGGGTCAACGCCCCCGCGGCCCGGTCTGGGACCAGGCGTCTTGGTGGATCAGGGTCTGATCAACCAGGCTGTTACTGCTGGTACCACGTAAATCGACGTACGAACCACAGCCCGGCTGGTCAGGTACTGACTTTAGGTATCTGTCCAGCTCCTTCTTGAAGGCAGCCAGGGATCTATTGGTAATCCCCCTTATGTATGCTGGAAGGCAGTTGAACAGTCTTGGGCCCCCGAACCTTATTATGTTGTCTCTTAGTACACTCGTGGCGCCCCTGCTTTTCATTGGGGGAATGTTGCATCTCCTGCCGAGTCTTTTGCTTTCGTAGGGAGTGATTTTCGTGTGCAAGTGTGGTACTAGTCCTTCCAGGAGTGTCCATGTGTATATTATCATGTACTTCTCCCCTGCTGCCAAATGTACCTTAGTTGTAGGTTGGCCGGTGCTGTCCCGGCCCGGGTCTTCTCCAGGTGGTGACCCGACGCCAAGTGAACAGGCAAAGTCACAATGATGGGCACCGGCTTACTGTATTTTTCGGCATATAAGGCGCGCCTTTTTTCCCAGAGTCATGGAAAATCACCCTGCGCCTTATATGCTCAAGGCCAGGGGTCAAGGGTAGGCTTTGGGTTGCTCTTAAGCGTAAAGTAAGAGAGTAATTAACCCGTGATTATAATTCCCGATTTAACGTTATAATGCTTCTGTCGTGCGTCTTACAGACGGGGAAATACGACATACAGACGTTCCTCTTTGATGCCATAATTAAATGATATCTCTGGAATACAAGATTTCTCCACAAATGAGGCATCGAGAAATGATGGGTAGGATTTGGGTGGAACCTGAGAAGCACAGGTGAGTAGGATACCTGGAGTTACCTGGAGAGGGTTTCAGGGGGTCAACGCCCCCGAGGCCTGGTCTGAGACCAGGCCTCGTGGTGGATTAGGGTCTGATCATAAGAACCACAGCCCGGTTGATCAGGTACTGACTTCAGGTGTCTGTCCAGCGCCTTCTTGAAAACAGCCAGGGGTCTATTGGTAATCCCCCTTATGTATGCTGGGAGGCAGTTGAACAGTCTAGGGCCCCTGGCACGTATTGTGTTTGTCTCTTAGTATGCTCGTGGCGCCCCTGCTTTTCATTGGGGGAATGTTGCATCTCCTGCCGAGTCTTTGGGGAAGCGGAAAAGAATCCTTCCTCCGTAATCCATGCATACTGTAGAGGCTAATAAAATGCAGGGGGCAAGGGGTTGGTGACCCCTTCTCCTGTATAAATTACCAAATTTAAAAAGAAAAGTTTCGCTTTTCTTTTTAGGTCACCCTTCCTCGGTGGGATACGGCCGGTTCATTGAAAAAAGAAACAGACTTTTATGTGACAGTAATGTTGTTGCGGTGTTTATCTTGTGGAGGGACGGAACAGATAAAAGACATGCGCAGTTCAAGACGTTTAGTGAAGAAATGTTTCACTATGGATGGTTCTTGAGTACGTTTTGCCACTCGGGCAAAACGTTTTATCAATAAATGTCTTGAACTGGGCACGTATGTCTTTATTTACACCTTATTCTTATATAATAATAATGATGATGATGATGATAATAATAATAATAATAATAATAATAATAATAATAATAATAATAATAATAATAATAATAATAATAATAATAATAATAATAATAATATCTTTATTTACTACCAGTACATGTGCAAGGTATACAGACCATAGCTGACATCAATGACATACTACTATATGGAAAACCTTTAATATGCTGAGCATTTCCCGCAAATTAGGTCAGTTTTATCCCCAGGATGCGACCCACACCAGTCCACTAACACTCAGGTACCAATTTTACTCTTAGGTGAATAGGAATACAAAGGAGCAATGCGATATACCTCTTGGGTCTACTGACCCATATCTGGATGGGCGGAGATTTATCCGAGGCCCCTTAAGAACGAGTTGAATACTTTTTCTCTATGGTTGATGGATTGATTACATCATCATTTCGTTACTACTTTCGCGTTTGTATGTGACTGAAGAAGCCTACTGTGTAGGCGATACGTTTCATCAGTAAAGATACCAGCAGTCAGCATTACTAGGATAATGAACAGATCGGCGTCAGCAGTCAGGATTATTAGAATAATGAGCAGAACCACGTCAGCAGTCAGGATTATTAGGATAATGAGCAGATCTGCATCAGCAGTCAGCACTACTAAGATAATGAGCAGATCTGCATCAGCAGTCAGCACTGCTAAGATAATTAGCAGATCTGCATCAGCAGTCAGCACTACAAAGATAATGAGCAGATCTGAGTCAGCAGTCAGGATTACCAGGATAATGAGCAGATCTGCGTCAGCAGCCAGCACTACTAAGATAAAGAGCAGATCTGCATCAGCAGTCAGCACTACTAAGATAATGAGCAGATCTGCGTCAGTGTCGTGGGGGTTCGTAGGAGATATGATGGTTAGAGATAAACACACTTGTTGGATGATAACACTATATTGCAGAGTGTGAGAAGGGAGAGCCCAAACTGCCTGTTGTTGCCTGGAAGGTCTAACGGGAACTGAGAAGGATCCCAGGCGCGAAGGGCTCACAACAGCATCACGTGACGTCACACATGCTAGTCACTGAGCCTACTGACCAGGGAGCCTAAATATATACATGGATGATACTATCCACAATATACTACACAAGTATATATATAAGGGGATTCAGTATCTATGCTGACAGCTCGGTCATGTTATGTATGTCGTCTCGACATACAATACTATGCTACAGGCTGAACAGGCAGGTGGGCCTGGGCTGATTCTGTACAATAGCAAGGACATATGTAACTTAGAACTAATGGATGGTATCGTAATGGATGTTAACGTAATGGGTGTTAACGTAATGGGTGTTAACATAATGAGTTTTAACGTAATGGGTGTTAACGTAATCAGTTTTAACGTAATGCATTACGAATTATAAGAACAAATCGTGGTATAATAAAGGATGGAATTGATCGATCGATCTGTATTCATGCACTCTACAGATTCTGAGGAAGAATAAATATATATTTACAAAGGTGAAAGTAAATTAACAGCAAGGGCAGATCTGGTGCGCACAGATCATTACTGCTAAATTCTTAGAATTCGGAGGGAACGTGAACACAAAAAAAATTTTGAAAAAAAAAAAATCTGATCAGCTAATAATAAACACACAGTTGACAACTTCATTAATCTTGAACATCTAATTATACAGACTATGTACATTTAAACCCAACTCTGCGAGGGTAAGATTTACATATGCAGAATGGTTATCATCTTTGGGAGGGTCGAATTCCTTTGCAATGGTTAACACATGCCTTGACTGAGGGAGATCTGAACAAGTATCTACAAAAAATACTTGGGGGTTTCTCATCACTTGTCGTGTACGTAAGGAATAACGACATTCGGGTTGATTATCTGACTGAGTATTAGAGGTAGAGGGTACAGAGTCAGGAGGATTGTCAGCTACTGACACATTAGTCTGGGTAGAAATATCATCAACATCACATACTAATTTCATATGATCTAAATGCGATTCCTTATACTGACCAGTACTAATTTCTCTAACCTTATACTTATTGCCATTGATATGTTCAACTACTCGATAAGGACCAACAAACTTTTGGTCGAGCTTAGGCATTGCGGATGTTTTGTTGAAATTTGTCAGCATTACTCTCGAACCCACTTTAACTTTTGTCGGCTTAGCACGGCTATTAGTTACTCTAGTAAATTCTGCTGTTGATTTATGAAGTGTTTCACGGATTCTTCTAAAAACACTTTGAGCTAAGCTGGTATGAGTTGCTATGAAATCATCAGGGTTATAATTTGGTTTCGGAGTGGAATATAACAACTCATAAGGTAAACGCTTGTCTACGCCATACAATCCATAATGTGGAGTGTCACCTATGGAAGCATTGTAAGCAGAATTTATGGCACATTGAACATCTGGTATAACTTCATCCCAGGTTTCACTATTGGGGTTGATAGTGGCTCTCAAAACATCTAGTACTTTCTTATTTGTACGTTCTGCCAAACCATTGCTCGCAGGATGATGGAGAACAATGGTTGACTTAGAGATTTTGTACAAGGTACACAAATTTTCAAGAATCTCGTTGCTGAATTCACCTCCATTATCTGTTACTAAGGACTTAGGGGTGGTATGCCTGCAGATAATGCGTTATTTAAACACTTTAGCTACTGTCTCTGCAGTCTTATCTGCAATAGGAACTAACTCACAATATCTGGTGAAATGGTCTACCATAACACACAGATGTTTGTTGCCTTGGAGGGAACATTTAAAATTGGTTAACAAATCAAGCGCAACTCTTTCCCACGGTTCGCTAGTAGTTGGAAACACCTGGATTGGGTTAGGACCATTGACGTTTCCTTTTGCTGCATTCAGACACTACATTTCTTAACATACTCGGAAATGTCAGTTGCCATACGTGGCCAAAAGTATTTCATTCTGGCTTGTTTCACAGAACGATCCATACCAGGGTGAGCAGATCTGCGTCAGCAGTCAGCACTAAGATAATGAGCAGACCTATTTCAGCAGTCAGCACTACTAAGATAATAAGCAGATCTGCGTCAGCAGTCAGCACTACTAAGATAATGAGCAGACCTATGTCAGCACAAATCTAAATCTTCAGCTTGTCAGTATTTCATACCATTTTCGACAACAAGAGAGATAATGTTACCTGGGTTACGGTAGTCCTCATAGTAGCAGCAGGTTCCTGTACCACCATCGTCATGGTAGGTACCGTGGTTGGCCTTGCCAACGTAGGCTACCGGATGGGTTGTGTTGTAGGTCTCGTAGTGGCCGGGAATCCTTGTGTACCAACCTTTCTTCTGGCCAAACATTACTTCGTGCAGATGTGGACTCAAGTCCCAGTCACGAATCTGGCGTCGTATATGAAAAAAAAGTCAATTAGAATAATGGAATCAGGTGTAAGTCCCATAATAATAATAATTAAGTCTTGTAATGTTTAATATATTAGTACTAAGAATACTGATAAGTTATAGGTCACTGTCAGGATAAATAGGAAGTTTTAGGAGTCTTAAATCAATGCGTTTTAACCTTATGTATCTGTATATTAGATTTTTTTTTTTCTAAAATGCTTGAGAAATTTCAAAGACCTCAAAAAAAAAAAAAAAAAGCGTGTGCTTTCCTGTGAACGCCAATGTCGAAAATACATCTGACTTCCACATGTTGATAAACTAATCACAAAGTCGGAAATCCAAAACCTGACCCTTTGACTTATTGAAGAAATTAAAGGTGATCCTTTATGATTTAAAAAAAAAAAGCACACCAGTTAACAGTTTAGTTGATGAACGAGGTGTGGGGAGTCACTGTGTGCAATCACATTATTAAATCATGTAAAATAACGCATAAATCACGTTCGATTCTTAAGAGGACTAGCAGGAAGGATCACAACTGCTGGGTATCATGATCTTCGTGTAGAAGTAACCTGTATATAAGCCCTTTAGATATAAGAATACGACATTGCGCACGCCCTTAGTACTTAGTTATGTCAAATGTAATCTAAGAATTACATTTAGAAAGGCAGAATTCGCTGGAATCTCACCTTAATGACAATAAACTCAAACCAGGCATCTCTTTCTCCGGAGCAGCAGTCACAGTCATGGTTGTAGCCGTAGAAGTTCCAGTAAGCTGCCAAGTACAACAACAAGCTAAGATGACTCACGAAATCGTAATGACACGATTGCAAACAAACCATATCATGAGCGGAGTTAGAACCCACGATCAGAGAGTCATATAACTCCAGACCGACGCGTTAGCCATTGTGATCACAAATGCAAGTTTGCATTTGTGATCACAGTGATGGCCTATGCTAACCTTCCTATGGTGTATAAATATACCTAGTTGGATGAATCTTATTGTAGCCAGCTGGCCCAGTGGCTAACACGTTGGTCTGGAGTTTCATGACTCTCTGATCGAGGGTTCTATCCCCACCCGTACTATGGTTTGAACAAGCTAAGATATCCCATCGTCTCCCTATATATTCACATTACCTCATCCTGAACGCAAACTTAATATAATTTTTCAGCTGCATAAGAAACTCGTACATTCTATCTCTTGTGTTTTCCAGAATATCGGACAATAAGTCATTCCTTCTAAGACAGGATTACCAGGCAGTAATGTTGATGCAACTAATGCAACATTTCATTGTCACATTAATTGCACATGTGACCTTTTACCTAACATATTATCAGTAATTCTACCAACATTATTACATTGATCATAATGTTCATCTAACATACATGTGTTAAAAAGATGGTTTTTAAGGACGCACTTAAAGGATGGGTTGCTATTGGAGTTAAGAGACTTCCGTTCTACAAGAATTCTTGACACAAGTCCAAGAACAGCTTCTTGTCCTGTCACTTGTCCATTACCTCACATCTAATTTAATCTCTTGACTAAAGAAGTATAAAGGGTAGGAATCTAGAGAGAAAACTCTTTCAATAACTTTTATTATAGGGACGTATAAAATGTTACTGAACTAAACTTAGAAATGTTACTAAACTACGTTTAGAAATAGCCATGTTTATAAAATTGATCTCACCTCTATATTTGAAGACAAAGGCTTAAATACATGATCAAATGCGGTCAAATTTATGAATATCAAGGCTGGAATGTTACCTTGGGACGTATAGCCCATATTCTCTTTGATACGAAGCCAAACAATGTATTAGTTAATATTGAGAGCATATTAATATTTATATTGTGGCCCAACTTCTTGCAATGTTTCAGCTAACTCCCGCAGGATAGGTATGGGGTGCATAGCAAAGCTATTGAACTGCTATTGAATCTGACACAGTTGCTAAAGAATGGTATTGCATTTCCTTGCCGAAATTTACCAAGAAGGCTATTAATACCAAATGCTCTGGACAACAGTAAAATGACTTTTATGCCAAATGCAAAAGGACCCGTTTGTCTTCCGTACTGTTGAGCTACCTAACCCATAACTGTCTGTCACGTTACATGCAGCTACTCATTCTCATGCTTCACTCTCTCAGCTTCAGTGCCTTCAGCACTGAGGCATATAATGTGGCTGCTTGAACTGCATGACACAAGTGCGTGCATGAGTGAACGAGGGCCGCATCCCAGAAATCAGTTCAGGTACTGACCTATGTGGAGACGGTAACAGCAGGTCTTGGCGTGCCAGGTACTGACCTATGTGGAGATGGTAACCGCAGGTCATGGCGTGCCAATAGGTGGGCACTGTCCCGTTTACTAGAGAGTCGAAGTCTAAGTTGCACTTGCGGGACCAATCACCAGCCAGTCTCTGCTCGTAGTAAACAGAGGCGTCATCCGGGTAACACAACTCATTTTGTCCCTCCTGCAGAAGGACAAGATGTATTATGAATATGTCTAGTAAGATTACAAAACAAAATAACTTGGATAATGATGGAAACGAATTATGCAGGATGATTAGTTAGGAACAACAGTGATAACAGAGTAAGTGATGTTGCAATTGTCTATGCAATCAGAAAGTGCCAAGAATCTGAATATTAAAGCAATTATTAATGATTTGCTTCCACTCATTATCCTGCTTCATGATGGATAATGTTTAATGATGGACAGTGATGAGAACAAATTACGTACGAGTCACAGGTGACATTTCTCAGGGATTACTGATAAGTCTGGTCATGCTCATAGTTTTTATAAACGGCTTTGATGGGGGAAATAGCTACGCATTCACACTGACGACACAAAATTTGATCGACAAACACATTCTGAGGTGACCAGTGAGCTTCAGGATGATTAAGATTAGTTAATTGTGCAGTAGGAAAAGTGGAACATAGACATCTTGGCTTCACATCAAAGGTAAACAAGGTAAATTTCAAGGTTATGCCTTATTTATATATCTTTGATAAGGGTTCATTTAGATAACGAAGCACAATTTATGCCTCGTTATTAAATGAAATGTTTTCATGCTACATTAAATTCCCATTTTATTCCAATGCGTCGGTATTGACATTTAATTCCATCTACAAATTACCATTTTAACGCAAGTGATTGTCATTAAATGGCCAGCCGAAGTCAAGGTTGATCATCCTTATATATTCTTTAATGTATATTCGTCGAGAAGTCTTGACTTACATCTACATGAGTATGCCTTCAGTCACGCAGCGAGCACTTACCGTAACGCAATTACTCGGGAGAGAGACACTGGGAGTTACCTGGTATTCCCAGGCTTATCTGTAACATGCTGTTGCTGCGCCCCTGACACTGTGCTGGTCTCTGTCAGTCATCTCTAGCACTGTGCTGGTCTCTGTCAGTCATCTCTAGCACTGTGCTAGTCTCTGTCAGTCATCTCTAGCACTGTGCTAGTCTCTGTCAGTCATCTCTAGCACTGTGTTAGTCTCTGTCAGTCATCTCTAGCACTGTGCTAGTCTCTGTCAGTCATCTCTAGCACTGTGCTGGTCTCTGTCAGTCATCTCTAGCACTGCGCTGGTCTCTGTCAGTCATCTCTAGCACTGTGCTGGTCTCTGTCAGTCATCTCTAGCACTGTGCTAGTCTCTGTCAGTCATCTCTAGCACTGTGCTAGTCTCTGTCAGTCATCTCTAGCACTGTGTTAGTCTCTGTCAGTCATCTCTAGCACTGTGCTAGTCTCTGTCAGTCATCTCTAGCACTGTGCTAGTCTTTGTCAGTCATCTCTAGCACTGTGCTAGTCTTTGTCAGTCATCTCTAGCACTGTGATAGACTCTGTCAGTCATCTCTAGCACTGTGCTAGTCTTTGTCAGTCATCTCTAGCACTGTGTGAGTCTCTGTCAGTCATCTCTAGCACTGTGCTAGTCTCTGTCAGTCATCTCTAGCACTGTGCTAGTCTCTGTCAGTCATCTCTAGCACTGTGCTAGTCTCTGTCAGTCATCTCTAGCACTGTGTGAGTCTCTGTCAGTCATCTCTAGCACTGTGCTAGTCTCTGTCAGTCATCTCTAGCACTGTGCTAGTCTCTGTCAGTCATCTCTAGCACTGTGCTAGTCTTTGTCAGTCATCTCTAGCACTGTGTGAGTCTCTGTCAGTCATCTCTAGCACTGTGCTAGTCTTTGTCAGTCATCTCTAGCACTGTGTGAGTCTCTGTCAGTCATCTCTAGCACTGTGCTAGTCTCTGTCAGTCATCTCTAGCGCTGAGCTAGTCTCTGTCAGTCATCTCTAGCACTGTGCTAGTCTCTGTCAGTCATCTCTAGGACTGTGCTGGTCTCTGTCAGTCATCTCTAGCACTGTGTGAGTCTCTGTCAGTCATCTCTAGCACTGTGTGAGTCTCTGTCAGTCATCTCTAGCACTGTGTGAGTCTCTGTCAGTCATCTCTAGCACTGTGCTAGTCTCTGTCAGTCATCTCTAGCACTGTGCTGGTCTCTGTCAGTCATCTCTAGCACTGTGCTAGTCTTTGTCAATCATCTCTAGCACTGTGCTAGTCTCTGTCAGTCATCTCTAGCACTGTGCTAGTCGCTGTCAGTCATCTCTAGCACTGTGCAAGTCTCTGTCAGTCATCTCTAGCACTGTGCTAGTCTCTGTCAGTCATCTCTAGCACTGTGCTAGTCTCTGTCAGTCATCTCTAGCACTGTGCTACTCTTTGTCAGTCATCTCTAGCACTGTGATAGACTCTGTCAGTCATCTCTAGCACTGTGCTAGTCTCTGTCAGTCATCTCTAGCACTGTGCTAGTCTTTGTCAGTCATCTCTAGCACTGTGATAGACTCTGTCAGTCATCTCTAGCACTGTGCAAGTCTCTGTCAGTCATCTCTAGCACTGTGCTAGTCTCTGTCAGTCATCTCTAGCGCTGAGCTAGTCTCTGTCAGTCATCTCTAGCACTGTGCTAGTCTCTGTCAGTCATCTCTAGCACTGTGCTAGTCTTTGTCAGTCATCTCTAGCACTGTGATAGACTCTGTCAGTCATCTCTAGCACTGTGCTAGTCTCTGTCAGTCATCTCTAGCACGTGTGCTAGTCTCTGTCAGTCATCTCTAGCACTGTGCTAGTCTCTGTCAGTCATCTCTAGCACTGTGCTAGTCTCTGTCAGTCATCTCTAGCACTGTGCTAGTCTCTGTCAGTCATCTCTAGCGCTGTGCTAGTCTCTGTCAGTCATCTCTAGCACTGTGCTAGTCTCTGTCAGTCATCTCTAGCACTGTGCTAGTCTTTGTCAGTCATCTCTAGCACTGTGCTAGTCTCTGTCAGTCATCTCTAGCACTGTGCTAGTCTCTGTCAGTCATCTCTAGCACTGTGCTAGTCTCTGTCAGTCATCTCTAGCGCTGTGCTAGTCTTTGTCAGTCATCTCTAGCACTGTGCTAGTCTCTGTCAGTCATCTCTAGCACTGTGCTAGTCGCTGTCAGTCATCTCTAGCACTGTGCAAGTCTCTGTCAGTCATCTCTAGTACTGTGATAGTCTTTGTCAATAATCTGTAGCACTATACTAGCTTACGTCAGTCATCTCTAGCACTGTGCTAGTCTATGTCACTCATATCTAGCATTGTGCCTATATCAGTTATCTATGCTACTGTATAAGTCTTTTGATCAATAACAACAAATCTGCATTACATGAGTCGTCACGAGAGGCAAGACAGTGGCTGACATGCTAGGAAAGTGAACCACAGGTACCAGAGTGAAGCTACCACCGTACTGGTGGGGTTAGAACCCATCTTTACCCTGGTTTGTTTACAAATGTGTTATTACGATTTCTTGAGTTATTATTATTATTATTAAAGATTCGCCGGTATTTCTCCCGGCCCGGGCCTCTTCCAAGTGGTGGCCCGGCCATTTCTAGAGTCACAGTGAACCTTCTTGCTTACTGCACAACTAAATCCAGCTTAGTTCATCCAGTAAGCCAGTTAGTGTTGCTTGGCTCTCTCAACTCTTCAGCCAGTCAATCCCGGTCAGCTGGGACCACTGTGTGTGGATTTAGTTGATTTAATTAAGCGTATTGAGAGTAAAACATCGTTAAATAAATACTTTCGTTCTGATGCATGTGTATTACAGTCCAGTTAAGCGTTTTTATGTATTTACAATATTTTTTTATTTCGTTGGAATAACTTCTTAACACGGTATTTATGTCATGTTATTTTAACTAGTTTACGTATGTTGAATATTGAAATGTTGTAATGGATAGATGAAAAATAGATAATGGAAAATTTGAAAGCTTTATGGAGGCAATGTTTAATTTGGCACACACACACACACACACACACACACACACACACACACACACACACACACACACACACACACACACACACACACACACACACACATACACACACATGTCATGTGGGTTTTCGATACGTGGATGGGTAAAAATACTCACGTAGGCTGGTAGTACATATAATATATAACGGGAAGTATGGAAAGCGCCAACAGCCGACCTGTCTCTCTCTGCTGCCTAACTACGACTGACTCACAAGTGTCTACAGGGTGAGGGTGTTTGAAATCCTGCTATGGTCAGCAGCAATATGAATACAGTCAATGATTCACACAGACGGTTGGTAGTGAGTCATCTACCGGTACACTAGTTACTGGTAACTGGTTACTAGGAACTGGTACTACAACTGAGAAACACACATACACACACACACACACACACACACACACACACACACATACACACACATACACACACACACACACACACACACACATACACACACACACACACACACACACACACACACACACACACATACACACACACACACACACACACACACACACACACATACACACACACACATACACGCACACACACACACATACACACACACACACACACACACACACACACACACACACACACACACACATACAATATTTTTTTATTTCGTTGGAATAACTTCTTAACACGGTATTTATGTCATGTTATTTTAACTAGTTTACGTATGTTGAATACTGGCGGGGCCAGGAGCTGAGTAGGCGGGGCCAGGAGCTGAGTCTCGACCCCTGCAACCACAATTAGGTGAGTACATACACACACACACACACAAATACACACACACACACATACACACACACACACACACACACACACACACACACACACACACACACACACACACACACACACACATACACACACACACATACACGCACACACACACACATACACACACACACACACACACACACACACACACACACATACAATATTTTTTTATTTCGTTGGAATAACTTCTTAACACGGTATTTATGTCATGTTATTTTAACTAGTTTACGTATGTTGAATACTGGCGGGGCCAGGAGCTGAGTAGGCGGGGCCAGGAGCTGAGTCTCGACCCTTGCAACCACAATTAGGTGAGTACACACACACACACACACACACACATACACACATACACACACACGCAGAGCTACGGGGATTGTCCTATGAAGAAAGGTTGAGGGAAATCGGCCTGACGACACTGGAGGCCAGGAGGGTCAGGGGAGACATGATAACGACATATAAAATACTGCGCAGAATAGACGAGGTGGACAAAGACGGGATGTTCCAGAGATGGGACACAGACACAAGAGGTCACAATTGGAAGTTGAAGACTCAGATGAATCAAAGGGATGTTAGGAAGTATTTCTTCAGTCATAGAGTAGTCAGGCCGTGGAATAGCCTAGAAAGTGATGTGGTGGAGGCAGGAACCATACATAGTTTTAAGGCGAGGTATGATAGAGCTCATGGGGCAGGGAGAGAGAGGACCTAGTAGCAATCAGCGAAGAGGCGGGGCCAGGAGCTGTGACTCGACCCCTGCAACCACAAATAGGTGAGTACGAATAGGTGAGTACACACACACACACACACACACACACATGACGACATAACGGAAGGAATAGACTCAGAAGTGTCCCTGTTTGCAGACGATGTGAAGTTGATGAGAAGAATTCAATCAGATGAAGACCAGGCAGAACTACAAAGGGATCTGGACAGGCTGCAGACCTGGTCCAGCAATTGGCTCCTGGAGTTCAACCCCACCAAGTGCAAAGTCATGAAGATTGAGGAACGGCAAAGAAGACCGCAGACGGAGTACAGTCTAGGGAGCCAGAGACTACAAACCTCACTCAAAAGATCTTAGGGTGAGTATAACACCAGGCACATCTCCTGAAGCGCACATCAACCAAATAACGGCTGCAGCATATGGGCGCCTAGCAAACCTCAGAACAGCATTCCGACATCTTAATAAGGAATCATTCAGGACCCTGTACACCGTGTACGTTAGGCCCATATTGGAGTATGCGGCACCAGTTTGGAACCCACATCTAGCCAAGCACGTAAAGAAACTAGAGAAAGTGCAAATGTTTGCAATTAGACTAGTCCCAGAGTTAAGGGGTATGTCCTACGAGGAGAGGGTAAGGGAAATCCACGTGACGACACTGGAGGACAGGAGAGATAGGGATGACATGATAACAACATATAAAATACTGAGAGGAATTGACAAGGTGGACAAAGACAGAATGTTCCAGAGATGGGACACAGCAGCAAGGGGACACAGTTGGAAGTTGAAGAAACAGATGAATCACAGGAATGTTAGGAAGTATTTCTTCAGTCACAGAGTTGTCAGAAAGTGGAATAGTTTGGCAAGCGATGTAGTGGAGGCAGGATCCATTCATAGATTTAAGCAGAGGTATGATAAAGCTCACGGTTCAGAGAGAGTGACCTAGTAGCGACCAGTGAAGAGGCGGGGCCAGAAGCTATGACTCGACCCCTGCAACCACAATTAGGTGAGTACACACACACACACACGCACGCGCACAAAAAATTCAGAGAAAATGAGAGTACTTGAAGGGGAGAAATCGGCCGTTCAAACTGATTTTCAGGACAGAAATAGTGAGGAACAGGTTCTTGCAAGAGAAACCACAGCTGAAGGAATCATCAACATACAAGAGGGTGATCCTAGACCGCGACAGAACAAGAACAGAACGACAGCAGCTGAGGGAGAAAACACAGAAACGAAAGGGGCTGGGAAGAGAAGCAAGGACAAAGTCAGCTGAGGACAACCAGAGCCAGGCAGAGCAACAAGCACAAGCACACACAGAACCACCTTCTGAACCCAACAGCCAGAAACGATATCCCAACACAAACCACAATCCACACTTACAGCCCCCACCCCACAATATGCTGTAGAATCCCACAGCACACTGCCAGGCCCCCCCCCCCTCACAAACCCCCAGGACACAGTGTTGGAGAGGAAACTGAAGATATGGTACACCAACGCTGGTGGAATAACGAACTAATGGGAGGAGTAAAATATAGAAAAAAATGGGAGGAGTAGCATGAAAGAATTAAAGATGCATCACCGGACATCATAGCGCTCACCGAAACCAAGTTCACAGGAATGATAACAGATGCCATCTTTTCAATGGGATATCAGCTCCTGAGGAAAGACAGAGGGAACAGAGGTGGAGGAGTGGCACTGCTCATCAAAAACCAATGGGATTTTGATAAGCTGGAGAGAGAGAGGAGACGGAGGAGATGCAAGAGACTACATAATAGGAACACATCAGTCTGGAGATTCCAAGGTGGTAATTGCAGTGATGTATAACCCACCACAGTACAGCAGGAGGCCAAGGCAAGAATATGATAAGAATAACAGAGCGATGGTTGATACACTAGCTGAAGTGGCCAGAAGGGCTCATGCGAACAGGGCAAAGCTGATGATTGTGGGTGATTTCTATCACAAAAAAAAATTGACTGGGAGAACTTGGAGCCACATGAGGGCCCAGAAACGTGGAGGACTAAGATGATGAAGGTTGTATTGGAAAACGTTATGTACCAACACGTAAGGGACGCTACCAGAGAGAGAGAGAGAGGAGAGGATGAACCAGCAAGATGAGTAGTGCAGATATTGAGGACATCACATATGAAAGACCCCTCAGGGCCAGTGACCACGTGGTTCTGAGCTTCGATTAAATAGTAGATTTACAAGTGGAGAGTCTGTATTTTTGTCTGTTTTCTGTATTGAACTGATTTAGCTGCCAGTGGATAAAACATCTAATAAAATGTCCTAAATCTTGCATACGCATCTTTATTAAACAATATCTCATTCTTTTGTGTGTCTAGTTCTTGTACTTATGCTTACACAATTTTCCGCTAAATGTTGTGTACCAGTTGAGGGTCACAAATTCCTGATATCATGACAAGACTTTATGGTGAATCTACATAATGTGTGGTGGTAAGGAGATAGTTTTCTTATCAGTAATCAAACATGTTAAAATATTTCAAGAGTGAAGTAACTGACCTTGCTGTCAAAACGGAGGTAGGGAGCATAGTCGTGGGCAAACTTTGTGAAGTCCTGGGCCAGACCTGATGATATAGACAATGTTTATTGTGTTAGTACCTGAGGAATATGACACCTGCTGGACACACTGTTATCTGTGTTATATTCACTTGATAAAGTCTTGGAGGAATACAAACTATAGAGGCCATTTATGGTTTACGTTCCTCAGTGCGAAGATGCATAATATTTTCACGTTGAAGGTTCTCGTTCCAGCAGTTTTTAAAATTCCTCTGTTATAATCATTGAGATAATCTCTACATTATCACCTCTAGTTATTAATAAATACATTGTAATAAATCAGCAGTTACATAAGGCAGGAAACACAGAATCGTAAACAAATCTATTGTTATTTTTGTTATTCAAGAATTATGGAAAGATAATAGACTTCACCTTACGAAATAGAGGAAGCAAATGCGATAGTAATTATGGAGGAGGTAGATTATAGTGGAAAAATAATCTTGTTATTAGAAGACTTACGTGCCTCTTAATGACAGAAATGAAAGCGAAAGAATATTAAATAAAATAATAAATCCGCGGTACCCTACTTCATACACACAAAAAAATTCTTATTACGCTTTACAATGCACATAAATTCCACCACCTTCAGTAGTCTTGAGGAGCTGCACCAACCTTGTCATATGACATTCGTCTTGACATAACCAGTGCATTAAATTGCTTGCTAAATCCTACCTACAGAGGATTGCCCTCTCCCGAGGAAATCCTCTGTAGTTAGCCCTCAATCCTTGACTAAACAAAATTCATCCTGATTCCCGTATAAACAAAAGCGAAGATGATTTGATTTAGATTAGTAACCCAGAGAGCTAGAAACACGGAATAACCTCGTACCAAAGCGTGTCAAAATTCCTCACATAATTCTTCAAGAAGGAATCTGATATACGACTATCTCACGTATAACTGCCGACCTTCCCTTCAACAGTACGCCAGACTATTCTGAGCAGCAGCGCTGTGGTGCTAAAGTTGGACTTTGTGAAGCGAGTACCAGCAACAACAGAAGGTATTTTCTGGGATTGAGTCGCAGGTACCAAGATCCAGGGAATTCGAATCTATCAACAGAAGAACGGGAGGTAGACGGAAGCACTTGACTTTACTTTCACTAAAGTCACTTGATACACCCGTGACAGAAGTGTGTGTGTGTGGGTGTACTCACCTAGTTGTACTCACCTATTTGTGGTTGCAGGGGTCGAGTCACAGCTCCTGGCCCCGCCTCTTCGCTGGTCGCTACTAGGTGCACTCTCTCCCTGCTTCATGAACTTTATCGTATCTCTTATTAAAGCTGTGTATGGATCCTGCATCCACATCACTCTCCAGATTTTTCCACTTCTTTACAGCTTATGTGACTCATATGAGTCTTCAACTTCCAGTTGTGTTCCCTTATTGCTGTGTCCCATCTCTGAAACATCCTGTCCCAATCCATCCTGTCAGTTCCTCTCTGTATTTTATATATAGTTATCGTGTCGTCCCTATCTCTCCTGTCCTCCAGTGTCGTCAGGTTGATTTCCCTTAACCTCTCCTCGTAGAACATTCCCCTTAGCTCCTTTACTAGTCTTGTTGCAAACCTTAGCACTTTCTCTAATTTCTTGACGTGTTTGACCAGGTGTGGGTATCGTATTGGTGCTTCAAACTCCAATATGGGTCTGACATACACGATGTACAGAGTTTTGAATGATTCCTTACTTATGTTTCCCATGCGCCCATATGCTGCAGCAGTTATTTGGTTGATGTGTGCCTCAGATGTGCTCGGTATTATACTCACCGCAAGATCCTTTTCCTTAAGTGAGGTTTGCAGTCTTTGGCCTTTTAGCCTGTGCTCTGTTTGCAGTCTTCTTTCACCTTTTTCAATCCTTATGGCTGCATTAGTGGGGTTAAACTCTAGGACCAGGCTTGTAGTCTGTCTAGATCCTTTTATATTCCCATCTGATCCTCATCCACATGAATTCTCCTCATTAGTTTCACATCGTCTGCAAACAGGGATACCTCATGTCATTCACATAAATACCAGAAAGAGAGCGGCCCTCGAAGTAACCCTTTTGGAACTCCGCTCGTCACAGTCGCCCACTCTGATACCTCATTGTTTCCTTCCTGTCAGGTATTCCATGATCTATTGTAGTGCCTTTCCTGTTTTTCCTGCCTGCCCCTCTAGCTTTTGCGCTAATCTCTTATACAGAACTGTGTAGAAAGTCTTCTTGCAGTCCAAGAAAATTCAGCCTACTCACCCAGCAGCAGCAGCAGCAGCAGCAGCAGCAGCAGCAGCAGCAGCAGCAGCAGCAACAGCAGCAGCAGCGGCGGCGGCGACGGCGGCGGCGGTGGAGGCGGCGGAGGCGGCGGCGGCGGCGGCAGCGGCGGCAGCGGCGGCAGCAGCAGCAGCAGCAACAGCAGCAGCAGCGGCGGCGGCGACGGCGGCGGCGGTGGAGGCGGCGGAGGCGGCGGCGGCGGCGGCAGCGGCGGCAGCGGCGGCAGCAGCAGCAGCAGCAGCAGCAGCAGCAGTAGCAGCAGCAGCAGCAGCAGCAGTAGCAAAAACAACAGTTGCAGAAGCAACAGCAGCAACAGTAGTAACATCAGCAGCAACGACAACAGCAGCAGCAACATCAATATAAGTAGCAACAGTAGCAATAACATATGTCATCCTACCTGTCCTTACAGCAACAACATATGTCATCCTACCTGTCCTTACAGCAACAACATATGTCATCCTACCTGTCCTTACAGCAACAACATATGTCATCCTACCTGTCCTTACAGCAACAACATATGTCATCCTACCTGTCCTTACAGCAACAACATATGTCATCCTACCTGTCCTTACAGCAACAACATATGTCATCTACCTGTCCTTATAGCAACAACATATGTCATCCTACCTGTCCTTACAGCAACAACATATGTCATCCTACCTGTCCTTACAGCAACAACATATGTCATCCTACCTGTCCTTACAGCAACAACATATGTCATCCTACCTGTCCTTACAGCAACAACATATGTCATCCTACCTGTCCTTATAGCAACAACATATGTCATCCTACCTGTCCTTATAGCAACAACATATGTCATCCTACCTGTCCTTACAGCAACAACATATGTCATCCTACCTGTCCTTATAGCAACAACATATGTCATCCTACCTGTCCTTATAGCAACAACATATGTCATCCTACCTGTCCTTACAGCAACAACATATGTCATCCTACCTGTCCTTATAGCAACAACATATGTCATCCTACCTGTCCTTATAGCAACAACATATGTCATCATACCTGTCCTTACAGCAACAACATATGTCATCCTACCTGTCCTTACAGCAACAACATATGTCATCCTACCTGTCCTTACAGCAACAACATATGTCATCCTACCTGTCCTTACAGCAACAACATATGTCATCCTACCTGTCCTTACAGCGACAACATATGTCATCCTACCTGTCCTTACAGCGACAACATATGTCATCCTACCTGTCCTTACAGCAACAACATATGTCATCCTACCTGTCCTTACAGCAACAACATATGCCATCCTACCTGTCCTCAGTGCAACATCATATGTCATCCTACCTGTCCTTACAGCAACAACATATGTCATCCTACCTGTCCTTATAGCAACAACATATGTCATCCTTCCTGTCCTTACAGCAACAACATATGTGTGGCATGCAAAGAGTACGTAACCTTTATTCGGCGCATGTACACACCCTCATTTACAGGCTATCTCCCCCAACCAGCGAACCAGGTTGCTAAGAGTTGATGATGGGGCCCCATCGTTCAACTAGTGACCAGGTTCTAGCCAATAAGAAGATGGTTTTGGCAATCGCAGAGGTTATGTGGGTACCGCTCTCCTGTCTGCCCTTGTCATTCCCATTCTAGAGCTGGTTGAAGCACAGTCTGCTATCTTGTGGCTTCTATTTCTGCCTTGCTTACCGTGGAGTGCACTATACTTATCACTGTACATAGTGTACATATTGCTGTTCTAAATTGGTGAAGGATAATATAAGTCTAAACTTTTTCTGCTTTGTTTATTTTGCTCCCATTACACCCGGGATAACAGGCCATTTGGATTCCTGGGTTGTAATATGGGGGCCTGTCCGGGAGCTGAACCCGGGACCTCTCGCACCCGAAGCGAGAATCATACCCCTAGACCAACAGGCCAGTAACAACTGACATGCAAAATTTGTAAAGCAATGCCAGACAGCAAGCTGCACAATGTTCCTGCTACGAGCTTCACCCTAAGCTCAACCGTTTCTCTAAGTCCAGCTCCAGCTCTCGGACAGGCTACCCATATTACAACCCAGGAATCCAAATGGCCTGTTATCCCGGCATACTTTTCAGCCAAGTTCCAGCCACATCAGAGGGCTTACTCTACCATTGAAAAAGAAGCCCTCGCTCTGGTACTGGCTTTGGAGCATTTCGATGTGGTCACAGTCTACAGTGATCACAATCCTCTAGTATATCTCCAAGCCATGAAGAACCACAACACAAGGCTTATGCACTGGACGCTAAGGCTGCAGCCCTATAATATTTCAATTAAATATATTGCCGGCAAAGAAAATATGTTGGCAGACTCTTTATCTAGAGCATAATATTTTATTTAGGTTAGGATGTTATTTGTGGTAACCCCTTTTCACGCTCTTTTTTTTTATCCCCTGGTGTGGGGTTTTTTTTTAGTGAGGGGATGCGGGCTACCGTCTGCCTGTATCTTGGACCTATGCTAGCCTGTCTGACTGCTGTCTCACTCTAAGTTTAGGGTTTGGCTTTTGGTCACGAGAAAAGCTGAGCTCTATCTAAGAGTTGGATGGTGGAGAGGAAAGGCGGTCTCATTATTTTGTGCCATGGCGGCACGGTTACCACTGGGAGGTGGCAGCCTGGGTTGTAATAATATGTCATCCTACATGTCCTTACAGCAACAACATATGTCATCCTACATGTCCTTACAGCAGCAACATATGTCATCCTACATGTCCTTACAGCAACAACATATGTCATCCTACATGTCCTTACAGCAACAACATATGCCATCCTACATGTCCTTACAGCAACAACATATGTAATCCTACATGTCCTTAGAGCAACAACATATGTCATCCTACATGTCCTTACAGCAGCAGCAGAGAATGCTGCTCAGCCCACCTGCCCTCCTATCTGACCTAAGCAGCAGCATTAGCAGCAGCAGAATCACAGCAACAGCAGAAGCATAAACAACAGCAGCAGTAGCAGAAATAACAGCAGCAGCAACAGCAGGAGCAGCAGCAGCAGCAACAGCAGTAGTAACAACAACAGACACAGTCATCTGCCCTGCACACCTGGACTCATACCTGGCTAGCACTCTTGTGTTCTTACCTGTGTCTAACAGCAGCAGACACAACCAGCTAACTAAGAGGGCTACTCTTCTGTTACCCTCGACCATGATGACTGACTACTTTCTCACCCTCTCCTCTCTCTTCTTATGCTGACCACTATCACACCACGCACAAAAAAACACTAGCAAAGCTTCGCTATCATTTTCCTGTCACACACACACACACACACACAGACACACACACACACACACACACACACACACACACACACACACACACACACACACACACACACACGCACACACACACACACACACACACACACACACACACACACACACACACACACACACACACACACACACACACACACACACTCAAGGAGCCAGTTGCTGGACCAGGCTTGTAGCCTGTCCAGGTCTCTTTGTAGTCCTGCCTGATCCTCATCCGATTTGATTCTTCTCATTAACTTCACATCGTCCGCAAACAAGGACACTTCTGAGTCTATCCCTGCCAAATGCAAAGTCATGAAGATTGGGGAAGGGCAAAGAAGACCGCAGACACAATATAGTTTAGATGGCCAAAGTCTGCAAACCTCACTCAAGGAAAAAGATCTGGGGGTGAGTATAACACCGAGCATATCTCCCGAGGCGCACATCAATCAGGTAACTGCTGCAGCATACGGGCGCCTGGCAAACCTACGGATAGCGTTCCGATACCTCAGTAAGGATTCGTTCAGGACTCTGTATACCATTTACGTCAGGCCCATACTGGAGTATGCAGCACCAGTTTGGAATCCACACCTAGTCAAGCACGTCAAGAAATTAGAGAAAGTGCAAAGGTTTGCAACACGACTAGTCCCAGAGCTACGGGGATTGTCCTACGAAGAAAGGTTGAGGGAAATCGGCATGACGACACTGGAGGCCAGGAGGGTCAGGGGAGACATGATAACGACATATAAAATACTGCACGGAATAGACGAGGTGGACAAAGACGGGATGTTCCAGAGATGGGACACAGACACAAGAGGTCACAATTAGAAGTTGAAGACTCAGATGAATCAAAGGGATGTTAGGAAGTATTTCTTCAGTCATAGAGTAGTCAAGCCGTGGAATAGCCTAGAAAGTGAAGTAGTGGAGGCAGGAACCATACATAGTTTTAAGGCGAGGTATGATAAAGCTCATGGAGCAGGGAGAGAGAGGACCTAGTAGCAATCAGCGAAGAGGCGGGGCCAGGAGCTATGAATCGAACCCTGCAACCACAAATAGGTGAGTACAAATAGGTGAGTACACACACACAGACCAGACCCAAGTGAGCTAGAGAATGGAAGAAGTATAAAAGGCAAAGGACCCAGGAGAATGAGAGCAGTCGTAGAGCAGAAATGAATATGCACAGGTTAGAAGGGAGGCTCAACGGCAGTATGGAAACGACATAGTAGCAAAAGCCAAATCTGACCCGAAGCTGTTGTAAAGCCACATCGGGAGAAAAACAACAGTCAAGAACCAAGTAATCAGACTGAGGAAGGAAGGAGGGGAGCTCACAAGAAATGACCGAGAAGTATGTGGGGAGCTCAACACGAGATTCAAAGGGTTCACAGAGACAGAAGGGACTCCAGAAAGACGGAGAGGTGGGGTACACCATCAAGTGATGGACACAATACATACAACCCAGGAAGAAGTGAAGAGGCTGCTAAGCGAGCTAGATACCTCAAAGGTGATGGGACCGGATAACATCTCTCCATGGGTCACGAAAGAGGGAGCAGAGGCGCTATGTGTACCACTAACATCAATCTTCAACACGTCTATCGAAACAGGGTGACTACTTGAGGTATGGAAGACAGCAAACGTAGTCCCAGTGTTTAAAAAATGAGACAGACACGAAGCATTAAACTACAGACCAGAGTCACTGACATGTATAGTATGCAAAGTCATGGAGAAGATTATCAGGAGAAGAGTGATGGAAAATCTAGAAAAGAATGAGCTTATCAACGACAACCAGCACGGTTTCAGGGATGGGAAATCATGTGTCACAAACTTACTGGAGTTCTATGACAGGGTGACAGCAGTAAAACAAGAGAGAGAGAGAAAGGAAGAGAGAGAGAAAGAGAGAGAGAGAGAGAGAGAGAGAGAGAGAGAGAGAGAGAGGGGAGAAGAGAGAGAGAGAGAAAAGAAAAGAGAAGAGAGAGAGAGAGAAGGGTTGGGAGACTGTGTTTTCTTGGACTGTAAGAAGGCTTTTGACACAGTTCCACACAAGAGATTAGTGCATAAGCTGGAGGACTAGTGTAGTATAACAGGGAAGGCACTGTAGTGGATCAGGGAATACCTGTCGGGAAGACATCAGTGAGTCGTGGTACGTGACGAGGTGTCAAAGTGGGCGCCTGTGACGAGCAGGGTTCCACAGGGGTTAGTCCAAGGACAGGTGCTGTTTCTGGTATATGTGAACGACATGACGGAAGAAATAGACTTAGAAGTGTCCCTGTTTGCGGATGATGTGAAATTGATGAGAAGAATTCAGTCGGACGAGGACCAGGAAGAACTACAAAGGGATCTGGACAGGCTGCAGGCCCGGTCCAGAAACTGGCTCCTGGAGTTTAACCCCAGCAAGTGCAAAGTCATGAAGATTGGCGAAGGGCAAAGAAGACCTCAGACAGAGTACAGTCTAGGGGGCCAGAGACTACTAACCTCACTCAAGGAAAAGTATCTCGGGGTGAGTATAACACCAGGCACATCTCCTGAGGCGCACATCAACCAAATAACTGCTGCAACACATGGGCGCCTAGCAAACCTAAGAACAGCATTCCGCCATCTTAATAAGGAATCGTTCAGGACCCTGTACACTGTGTAAGTTAGACCCATATTGGAGTATGCAGCACCAGTTTGGAACCCGCATCTAGCCAAGCATGTATGGAAATTAGAGAAAGCTTAAAGGCTTGCAACAAGACTAGTCCCGGAGCTAAGGAGCATGTCCTAGGTGGAGAGGTTAAGGGAAATCGACCTGACGACACTGGAGGACAGGAGAGATAGGGGGGACACGATAACTACATACAAAATACTGAGAGGAATTGACATGGTGGACAGAAACAGAATGTTCCAGAGATGGGACAGAGCAACAAGGGGACACAGTTGGAAGTTGAAAACTCAGATGAATCACAGGGATGTTAGGAAGTATTTCTTCAATCACAGAGTAGTCAGGAAGTGGAATAGTTTCGGAAGCGATGTAGTGGAGGCAGGATCCATACATAGCTTTAAGCAGAAGCATAATAAAACTCATGGAGCAGGAAGAGTGTCCTAGTAGCGACCAGTGAAGAGGAGGGGCCAGGAGCTATGACTCGACCCCTGCATCCACAACTACGTGAGTATACACAGTTGATACGATGCATCAGGAACTCATGATTGTTGCCCTTCACAATTATTACATTTTAATCAAGAAAACGCTAAACCCGTAGAAGTCATATATCGCCTATGGAGAGAGAGAGAGAGGGAGAGAGGGAGAGAGGAGAGAGAGAGAGAGAGAGAGAGAGAGAGAGAGAGAGAGAGAGAGAGAGAGAGAGAGAGAGAGAGAGAGAGAGAGAGAAGAGGAGAGAGAGAGAGAGAGAGAGAGAGAGAGAGAGAGAGAGAGAGAGAGAGAGAGAGAGAGAGAGGAGAGAGAAAAGAGGGGAGGAGAGAGAGAGAGAGAGAGAGAGAGAGAGAGAGAGAGAAGAGAGAGAGAGGAGAGAGAGAGAGAGAGAGAGAGAGAGAGAGAGAGAGAGAGAGAGAAGGAGGAGAGAGAGAGAGAGAGAAGAGAGAGCGAGAGAAAGAGAGAGAGAGAGAGAGAGAGAGAGAGAGAGAGAGAGAGAGAGAGAGAGAGAGAGAGAGAGAGAGAGAGAGAGCTGGCGCTTTCGACCGGGTGTGGCACCAGGGCCTCTTAGCAAAACTTCAAGCACTGGGAATTGCAGGCTCTACGCTATGTCTCCTCAGTGATTACCTTCATGGTAGATCTCTAAGTGTAGTCCTCAATGGAACGGAATCAGCAAGGCATCCTATTGGGGCAAGCGTTCCACAAGGAAGTGTGCTGGGACCATTGTTATGGAATGTCTACTTCAACGACCTTCTTCATCTCATCCCAGAATCACATGCATATGCAGACGACTGTACACTGACATTCACTTATCCAAGAGAAGAAATGCCAGCTGCGCTAAGCTACATCAATCACCAGCTGAGAGCTATATCAGCTTGGGGAAATAGATGGCAAGTAACATTTGCACCTGAGAAAACGCAAATGATGATCGTCTCTAGGCACCATGATGGTAATGCTGGTGCAGTAATAAGGATGAATGGGACGATGTTGGCACCTGGAGAAGAAGTTGATATCCTTGGGGTGAAATTTGACTCCAAACTAACCATGAAGAACCATGTTGTAAATCTTGCAAACAAGGCAGCCAGGAAGCTTACAGCACTTCGCCGTATCTCGCATCTGCTTGACAGTAGGGGTTGCAAGATCCTGTACGAGGCACAAGTACGCTCACACCTTGAGTATGCTCCACTTTCTTGGTTTGCCTGCCCCCCCTCTCATCTGCGACTGCTTGACAGAGTAGAGAACAGAGCAAGACGTCTCATCTCTCGCCTGGACCCATCCTGGATAGATCTGTCATTTCAGCAGAGCCTTCAACATAGGAGGGATGTGGGTGGCCTTACTGTTATGTACAAGGCCAATATTGTCAAAATACCACACTTGGATCCACTTCGAGGACAGCGTGAAACAAGCTTTTATGCCACAAGACGGGCAGAAAGCAGCAACTTCACTCTGGCTGTACCCTTCTCCAGAACATCACTCCATCTGAGATCATACATACCCAGGATGACTCGAGTATGGAACACATTCGTACAGCATAATGATGTCAACGAGATAACGTCAGTTGATCAAATGAAAATGCTGGCCCACAGATGGCTCCAACTTCATCCTGTTCCCTACTTGTATGTCTCATAACAATAAAAATGCTTTCAAATGAGCTGATGTAGGTAACAGCTCTTAGCTTGCCAATAAAGTTAGGAATCCTTAACCTGTAAATAGCTGTCAATAAAGCTAGGGATCCTTAACCTTGTCAAACCCTGTGTAAAAAAAAAAAAAAAAAAAAAAAAAAAAAGAGAGAGAGAGAGAGAGAGAGAGAGAGAGAGAGAGAGAGAGAGAGAGAGAGCGGA